GGTGGATGGGAAGTAAGGCATCATATTGCTGATTATGCTGAAGAAATAAAAATGGTGCATGGCCATGTAAACACGGAGTGATAGCTTATTCTTGTAAATATTGAAATATTTCGGCAGTTTATATTGAAATTTTTCAGCATAATCAGCAATATGATACATTACTTCCCGTCACCCCTGCGCGCACAAATGAAAAGCTGGAATTGCCTATTCAAAAAAGTTCGAAAGATGCAAAACTTGGGCAATGTTTATATCTGCGGGTCCCCCTTTGTTATGAGCAGAACTGATGCGCAGAACGAACTTTACATCATCTTTAATAGTTCAGGTGCATGTATTATGGCTTTTGTTGCTGTTTTCATCTTGTACTGTACCTTGTTTTGTACATTTCCAGTAAGATTCATATGAAAAAAAGCAATGATTCTCAGGCGATTGTTCAAATATATGAACGATTTAGAAAAATAACTTTACCAAATCTTGGCGGCCACGCAAAATCCACGCACATGAAGCCGCACGCAGATGGCTTAAATTTAAATTTGAGCCATGATTAATCTCGCCCAGTTTGCCTTTAAACTTCTTGTAAAGTTTGTAATAATTAACACATCATTCTTGTTTTGTTCATTATTCTTTTTTTAAAATTTAAATTTAATTTTAGATTGGGCAATCAGGTGAACCATTTTCGGATGCACGAGGTATTTTTGTGCCAGCTTATTACATACAATTTACACATGGGACTTTAAAAGCGGGTTATTTAAGCAGTCATAATCTTTTTTTAGACTGCACGATTTTGTTTTGATCAATAGATGTTTTGACATCTTATTTTAAGCTAGTGACTTGCATCGTCCCGGCTGAACTCTGAAGCATCCAGTCCAGGAAACTCGGAATCATGTTAGCCATCCCTTTGTGATCTTTTAGATTCTTGTACATCTAGTGTACAAGAATGATCAATTTAGTAGTCCACGATAATCTCCGGTCCAAGACATTTGGTAAAAATTTTAGCAGTATGTATTTCGCAGTTGGAATCATCCAAACAAAAGGCATTGCCAGAAATTAATGGCATGCGCCCACAATATATATCAGCGATTTTTACTTGAAAAGTGTTTGATATCTAACAAGACGCCGATCGAGGCATTCCCCCGGTCATATGCGGCACAAGCTGTGAACAGCAACGGCCGAAAACGAAAGCTCGTTCAATACATCAAGGCCTCGGTTTGACATTATCCTGTACAGTCCTCGCTCTCGGTTAGTAAGTTCTATTATGTGTTTTTCAAAAACATAAACGCGTCTATTGGACAACTAATTAATAGACATATTCATTTTACATTTTATTTTCTCGAAAAAAGTAAAAATCTTTGAATTTATTCATTAGTTGAATATAGTTCATTGACCATGCAATTATAAGGATGGTTAGGAATGGTGCAAGAAAATAATCAATGCCAACATAAACAAAGCTTGGGTCCCATCTGTGCTTTTACACGTGGACTGTTTCCATCACTTTACCACCACTTTCAGTTTACCCTTCAAGGAAACTCCATGTTAGTTATCCGTATAAATACTGTAGATTTCGGAGTAATTTTGGTGTCTTGGCGGAGAAGAGAGGGTTATTAAGGTGATTGTCTTGTCTTTTCCACTTTGTAGACAGACCACAATCCTGGAAATGGAAAGAGAGTTCAAAAGTTCATCGACAAAAATTCGTTAAATTGGTCGATTACGGACGAGAGCATCCAGAAGAGATCAAGGAAATCAACGGAGTGCGCGTTTGTTTCGCGGATGAGTTTTGCATTGGTAGGGGTAGTGATGGTACTCGAGTTTATGTAGGATTAGGAAACGACGGAGTTGAGAGGGCTGTGAAACGTATGCGTAAAGACGCTTGCTCTTGCTTAGCTGAACACGAAAAACAAGTTTTGAGCGAACACAACACAAGCAAATCAAACTATGTTGTGAATTACTGGTTTTTGGATGAAAAAAGGGACATTGAGTACTTATTTCTAATATTAGATTTATGCGAGGAAACGTTGGAAGATTTTGTTGATCGTAGCAGTTTGGAGTATTTGGTAACAATTGCGCCAGATATCATCAAGCAAGTTTTGAAAGGATTGGCTGATCTCCATCGCGGTTCGATGCCTATTTTGCACCGTGATCTAAAACCAAGCAATATCTTACGAAACGTTCAGGATAATTGGTTACTGGCAGACTTTGGTATCAGTCGAATCATGACAGAAGATCCAAGTACTATTCGAACCAACCCAAAGGGAACTAAAGATTGGAGAGCCGTTGAAACATATCATTCGGAGGGAAGATCTGTTCATGGAAAAGTACGTTACAAGAAAGAAACTGATGTTCAGGTAAAGTTTCCTTGATAGTAAATATAAGTATATATGAATGCCTCTGAAATATGTCCAACACTTCGCGTGGCGTAATGATAGCTCTAACTTGCCTTTGTCATACTTAGGTTGCCGGAATGGTGGCATTCTATATCGTCACAAAAGGTGCACATCCCTTTGGAGCAGAAGCTGACCGACTTCGCAACTTACTTGATGACAATGCAGTGGATTTAGATATGGTGGAAGATACTGCCGCAAAAGATTTGATATCCTGGATGTTGAGCCACCGTCCCAAAGATAGACCTTCGGCTGAAGAAGCACTAAACCACCCTTATCTTCAGCCCAAGGGACAGCAGTTTGAAATGTTGTGCACAGTAGGAAACGAATTTGAGATCAAGACTCGGAATGCCATGTCAGATGTCGTGAGAAAGTTGAATAGCAATCCTAAAGATTGGAGATCTTTGATGAGAGCCGATATTCTGAACTATTTAGCCACTGACTCTTCGACGGGGAGAACAATTAATTATACCTCGTCGTGGGCAGACTGTTTACGACTTATGCGAAATGTTAAGCAACACTGGAATGACCGCCCAAGGCCGCGACCCGAAGTATTCTATTTAGTGGGCAATCCCCAAGAGTACTTCCTTAACCTACTTCCCAATCTTCCTGTTGAAGTACACAGAATTGTTAGAACATGTAATTGGAGAGAAAGAAATGAGCTTAAAAAATTCTTTGGTGAAGGTATGTTTTTTATCCTTAGATAACAGTGTGGCTATGATCTGTCACGGTATTAATGAGAGCGTTGAATGTCGTCGCAGATGGGGTATAAATAAATGGCAGTGTTCTTCACAGCAAGTGAACTTAACAATCATCAACTGCCTAGTGCCGATTACAACACTGTATAATGGTATTTGCATGCACACGGACATCAACTACAAAATGACAACAAACGTATGATCATTTCAACTTGTCAGAAGTTCATCTATAGGCATCTACACTGCACGCAGCATATACTCATGCAACTATATTATAGTATAAAAGCCTCAGAAGTTGTTTCAAGCATGTATATAAACAGACAGAGGGACGCTGGAAAGATGTGAAGGCAAGGGCGGCAGATTTTCGTGAAAGGGCACTTTTGAATTGATATATACTAAGAGATGTTTGCAAAACATCGGGAGTTGAACTTCGTCTAATCATGTTTTCTATTTATTGGATGATAAGGGTGTGAGGGGTTCTCCGCCAGGCGATTGTGCTATTCTTGAACATAGGCGTACGGGCACAAATCTATTGGGGGACAAAATTTTCCCGAATTTTTAAGCTGATGACAAAAAACTCGTCCATTTCTTCTACCAAAAGTATCAATTATTTTAACCATGTCGTTCTTAATAGTTCGGTTAGCATATGCTCGTTCAATGTTAATGACAGCGATAGAATTCAAGTGTTCTTCGCCCATTGTCGAGCGGAGGTAGGTTTTCACGCGCCGCAATCCACTGAATGACCTTTCAGCAGTACAGGACGTAGCGGGAATCGACGCAAGAATGGTTGCTGCTTCGTATAATACAGGTAATAAGTCACATAGTCCATCCTGAAACATTTTGTCGACAACGTTTGCTGCAGTTTTCGCCCGAGGATTGGACTCGTCCGTGATGGAAATTTGATACATACTCTTCTCCACTTCAAAAGATCCCTATCGACATTGTAAAACTCTGCCACAGCATCAAAGCTGTTTTCTAAAGGTGAGTCGTTTAGCACAACGTCTCCCAAAACGCACAAAATTTCTTGATTGTTGTTGTGAAATCGCGATTTCATTTCGCTAAGCACTTTGTCGAGAGATAGGTAGAATGTATTGATGCGATGATGGGTTTTCGGCGTTGTCACACACGCGATATTCGTGAATGTGGATTCACCGATAAGTGCTTGCAGGCGACGGGATGGTTTGTTCCGGGGTGCCCTTGCCTCTTTGAATACGAAACGAGATCCCTTGATGTCCTTTTTCATTTCATTGGACATGATCTGTGCTCTTTCCCACAAGAGTTCAAAATTCTTTTCGTTGCGACATTTACGGAGCGTGTTGATCGTGAGATCAGCGTTTCTTCCAAATATCGAATCAAGCCAAATACGAATTCAAAATCACAAATGGCATTCAAAATGGTGACGCTGTCCGTGTACGTCTTAGTATCCTTATCCTTTGTTAAAATGAGAAGAGCTTTCAATTGATAATTTTCGGCATTTGCTCGGTGACTGCTTTTACTACTTCCCATCTGCAGGACCATCTCGTTTCACTCAAAGATTTTAGTGTGAGAACAAAGTGATCACCATCTATCTTAACATAATTAAACACGGCATGGCGTTTGGACTTGCCTCCAAGAAATTATACAGAATAAGTTCTTTGAATGTTTGCATGGCGATAAAATATAATTGTTTTTTACTGCAAAGCTTTCGATCCGTAAGCCCGGATCTTCATCAGTGCTAATAATATGAGCATATTATTAGCACTGATGAAGATCCGGGCTTACGGATCGAAAGCTTTGCAGTAATAAATTTACGTGGTGTTTCCACAAACAAAAAACAATTAAATTATACAGACTTTGTAATGTCCCTAGTGCATTTCGGAGTGGTTGCACATCACTCATAGTGTCTTGCAGTGCCAAGTTAAGGATATGCGCGTAACAATGTATATATACTCCTCGCGGTGAGCATTCTTTCATTCGTGTCGCTACGCCTTTCCGAACGCCACTCATATTGGATGCACCATCAAAGCACTCGGCAACAATATCCTCTAACTTCAAGGAGGGCCCTGAAGGGGTAAAATGTGAACTGGGATTGATCTATTTTTAGACTGGGAAAATGGGATTTGGGTTGCTGGGACTGGGATTTGGCCACTGGGAATGGGAAATGAAGTCCTCAAAAATGGGAATGGGATTGAGGTAATGCGAGTCGATTCCCAATTTTTCTGCGTTTTGAGTATTTTAAAATACAATTTTGATCCGTTTTTGGTGTCTTTGGTCATGATTTTTGTTGTTAACTATATTATTCACAGCACTACCTGCGAACAGGCATACTCTGGCTCCTGGAATTGTGGGTTTTCTGATTATGCGTGTCTCAGAATGCTGCAAATGCCATTTCCGGGATTCAAATTTAAAAATTTTCCGTTCCTTCGGCACGAGCCCCCCCCCTAATATTTCATAAAGTGTCCGCCACTTGCTTAAAAGGTCTTAAAACTGTTTATTCTACCGATAAATAAAGGTTTTTTTATTCACTGGGATTTCAATAACTGGGACTGGGATTTCTAATAAAAATCCAACTGGGACTGGGATTTTGCCAAAATGTCAGGTGGGAAATGGGATTGGGACCCCTTCTGGACCCTCTTCAAGCCACGTTCAGTGATGACCCTCTTCACAAGTTCAAATAAAACTTCGCCTTCTGTTGATCCTGTCGAAAACAATTTGAGAAAGTCTCTAATGTTTTGCCAGTCAAAACATACCTTAGGCAGATTGATACCTAGTACCTGCTCTGTGCGGCTGATATCTGAAGTTTCATCCATGATTAGAGCAAAGATAGGGCTTAATAGTACATCCTGATTGATTCGCTCGACAAGAAATCTAGATATAATTTCTAATATTTTATTCTGAATAGATGGCGATGTCCACTGAGCGTGAAGCTTAAGTTGACTTTGCAGCTTTTCGTCGAGCCACGGGATGTCATCGCATCTGGGGTGTAATAATTCCAATAGGTTTCCTCTATTTATGTCGGACATTTTGCCGATATCATTTCTGTTTTCCTCGTGTCCTCGTAAAGCCACGTTTTGCTGTGCAGTATAGAATATGCTGGTAATGATTATACGTAAATACTCGCGGTTGCGTAGAACATCTTTTTGACGAGCGTCTGTTAATTGTTTCATTACAGATGTTTCGTGCTTTGAGTGGATCCTTGAGTTGATCCACTTGGCCACTGCGTTTTTGTGAACACCACTCTTTATGTGCTTTTTGAGCCTGTCACTTCTTTTCCAGTTATCGAAAGTGAACGTATTATCTCTCATGAATTATCGACACGCAAAGCATACACACTGACGGCGTTCAATATCAAAGCTAATCCAAGGATACGTTTTGTACCACTGTGGATTGAAATCTCTACTTTTTTTTCATTCCCGAACTTCTTTCGATTGTATTCGATCC